GGGGGGGGCTCAAGAATAAATCTGAATTGCTTTCGCACTTTTCCAGTTTTTTTTTGTGTGTTTTGGTTATACAAATGGAAATTATTGGGGGGGGGCTGAAAATAGCTAAATTCTGGGGGGGAGCATTTCCCCCCAAAATGGAATATGAATATCATTATTAATATTAATTTGGTAAGTGGTAAGGCATATAACCTTGAGTATAAAAATCGGTAATCACTTAGAAGTGCGTTTGGTGAACCCAGACATCATTTCTATCCCCTCACTTGGAAATAGACTTGTGCGCGTAGGAAATGACGTCTGGGTTTGTGACCATAGGAGGGAATTTACCCCTAGGTAATAAAAAAAACCCTGAATCCCACCCAAGTCCCAAAACCTAAAATACCCCTGGGCAAAGTAATTGTGATACATGTATCAGAGCTTGAAATAACAGCCGATCAATGATTGGCAAGAAATTGCTTATGATCGGCAGAAAAGCAGGGTTTCCAACCTGAAAAAGCAGGGAAAGTCATGACTGCCGATTACCTTGATCGGGAACTTTGGGAACGTTATTTCAAGCCCTGTGTATACTATTTACAGTACATTACCATTTACCACAAGTCTTTTCTTAGGTCAGGCCTAGGTCAACAATATGCAAATGAGCCCAGATTTTCTGGGCTCATTTGCATATTGTTGACCTAGGTCAAAGTTTGTTTATATTACCAAAATCTGCAGGCCTCGATAATATTATTTTGTGCCTGCAAGCAGAATTTAAAAATTGGAAATGTGCCTGCAAAAAGTTGTGTTTCTTTTTCATAAGTAAGCAATTACTGCAGGTAAAATTATGCAGTAACCAGTAGTAATAACAATTTAGGTAACAACAATATTTTAATTAACTGAAATAACAATTGCTGGATAGTTTCACTAAAAAGTCACAGTTCACAACCTCGTATATTGTACGACTGTAAGTACAGTAGATCCAGTCATAAATTGTAAGTTAGGCTTTGCTGAGCTCATTCGATTAATGACCTTCAATGCAGCAAAATCCCTCATGTTCTGTGATTTTCGAACAAAATGCCAGTCTTCGGTCTTTTGTTTCCCGGAATTGTTCCAGTATTCTGTCATACTTTCTCGGATAATGCTATCCGCATGTGACAGTTTGGCAACATTTAATAGCCCGCGTGCAGGCCCACCGAGGGAAGAATAGTTGGCCTGCAAGGAAGACCGGGTATTTTGTACTTTCCGCGTTCGCCCACGAACGCAGCATTCTGATTGGCTGTTTGCTGTTGGATTCTATAATTAGATCAGTGATTCAACACAAAGGCTCTCGATAAACTTAAAATTGGATCTGATCACTTTTTTCAATTAAAAATTGAACAAGAACAGACCGTTTATTGTTTACTTGAAGGAAGAGATCTTTTTGCCGTTATGCCAACGGGGATTGCTTTTCGTGAAGTGTTGGAATAGCAACATTACCACTGGGGTAAACTATAGTAACCTTTACTTGAGTTTCATTAATTTCAAACAGACTTGATACGTTATATGTTCCTCAAGAAAGTTATCTTTTGGTTGATGTTGACTCTGTTCTTGCACTGAAGAAAACAGCGCTTTTCGCGGTGAAGATTTAGAGGCAGTTGCATGTAAGCCTATTCGAGACACTTTGCGATTTGCAGGGCTTCGCCGAGAGAGCGAAACAGAAGACGGTAATTGCCGTTTGAAACGAAACGATCTGGACTCTGAACGCTCCCTTCTTTTGTCGAGTTCTTTACCAAATGAAATAACTGAAATATATTTCGTACTTTCCGCCGCCAACAAGAATTGCACACATGATCTGATAGTGAGACAATTTATTTATAATGCATGAGTCAATGTAAACCCCCCCACCCCGGCCAGGGTAATTTGACCTTGTTCTAATATTCGCAAATGCCCCACATCATGGGGAGTATCAAAGGTTCCGAATGTCAAAAAATGTCCCCTGTACCTGGGGCCTTCGCCCAGAAATTTAATTAAGACTTTTTAATTAAATACTGCTAAAACAGTTTACGTTTCAAATAATTATGTATGGACTGCAATGAACTGTTATAGATTGTATTCTTGAGATGGATAGCTTGCAAAAGATTAAGATTATTTATAATTTATTTAAGACTCCTTATCCTTTATTTATAATTTATTTAAGATATTCCTTATCCTCGTGGTTTATATTTTAAAGAACAGATGGTCAAAATCTGCATTACAAATTTGGCGATTTAAATCAAATCTACATACCTGTAATGCATGAGTCAATTGCAGGGGTAACCATCCCCCCCGGCCCCGGGAACACACCCGGGACACAGAATAAAGATTAGTACCAGAAGGGCCACTCAGCGGTGCAACGTGTCGCCATTTTTTTATGCAAAAATATGCAGTTGACTGGCCAGAAGGCGGGGCCTCCAGCAAATACAGCGCATTTATTGGCCAGAATATGTAATCGACTGACCAGGAAGATGGCGGCCAGCGGGCCCTTCTGTGTGGATCTTTATTCTGTGCCCGGGAATTTGATTTGATTGGTTACGATAGTGCAAATGCCCGGGTGCAGGGACACAACTAGGAGACTAATGTACGGCACCCCGGGGACGATTTTAAGCGTTATTAAATTAAACTTTTAATGGCATATCGTAGGCATAGTCATTTAATAACATTATACTATTAAACTGCTATGGAATATTATAAAACTTCAATCTCATGCTAAGAGTGGTTAAAAGGATTTAAACAACAAAATCATAAACCTTTAATGTTGTATTTAAATTCGCATGGCACAGTAATAATTTTCGCAAAAGTGAAATCATTTGTCACATCCCTGGGGTCTCAGCCACTATAACAATACCCGGCCCACATAAATGACAGGCAAATTCCTGACCCCCGTTAAATTCAGGCAAATTCCCGACACCGCTGTTGACAGGCAAATCCCTGACACCGCTGTTGTTCACGCAAATTCCCGGGGGGATGGTTACTCCAGGAATCAGAAAGTATCACAGTAAACCGCTTGTTGAGGATCTTGTTTGAGAAATCTCTTAATATTAACGTTGACTTAACTGGGTAAACGTAATATTGAGTAGAGGGCAACGTGACGTTCACTGCTTTAAAACAACGTAAAAAATTTGCACGGCGCGTTTGATTGCAAATGGCAGTAATATATATACATCCCATAAAAATCAGACAAAAAGAGCAAGGATTATAATGGTTCAAAATATATGACGAATTGTAAAAACTTTCCAGATCATCTAATCTATTCGTCCCGAAAAATGGCGGCCAGCAGGAGTTTGAGCCCGCGAATTCCTGGTGTGACACTAA